CGCGTGGTGAGTCTAGCCAATCGGTGTTGGTGAGCCACGTGGTGAGTCTAGTCAATCGGTGTTGGTGAGCCGAGTGGTGAGTCTAGTCAATCGGTGTTGGTGAGGCGCGTGGTGAGTCTAGTCAATCGGTGTTGGTGAGGCGAGTGGTGAGTCTAGCCAATCGGTGTTGGTGAGCCACGTGGTGAGTCTAGTCAATCGGTGTTGGTGAGCCGAGTGGTGAGTCTAGTCAATCGGTGTTGGTGAGCCGAGTGGTGAGTCTAGTCAATCGGTGTTGGTGAGCCACGTGGTGAGTCTAGTCAATCGGTGTTGGTGAGCCGAGTGGTGAGTCTAGTCAATCGGTGTTGGTGAGGCGCGTGGTGAGTCTAGTCAATCGGTGTTGGTGAGCCGTGTGGTGAGTCTAGTCAATCGGTGTTGGTGGACTGAGTGGTGAGTCTAGTCAATCGGTGTTGGTGAGCCACGTGGTGAGTCTAGCCAATCGGTGTTGGTGAGGCGCGTGGTGAGTCTAGTCAATCGGTGTTGGTGAGCCACGTGGTGAGTCTAGCCAATCGGTGTTGGTGAGCCACGTGGTGAGTCTAGCCAATCGGTGTTGGTGAGGCGAGTGGTGAGTCTAGTCAATCGGTGTTGGTGAGGCGCGTGGTGAGTCTAGTCAATCGGTGTTGGTGAGGCGCGTGGTGAGTCTAGTCAATCGGTGTTGGTGAGCCGAGTGGTGAGTCTAGTCAATCGGTGTTGGTGAGGCGCGTGGTGAGTCTAGTCAATCGGTGTTGGTGAGGCGAGTGGTGAGTCTAGCCAATCGGTGTTGGTGAGCCACGTGGTGAGTCTAGTCAATCGGTGTTGGTGAGCCGAGTGGTGAGTCTAGTCAATCGGTGTTGGTGAGGCGCGTGGTGAGTCTAGTCAATCGGTGTTGGTGAGGCGCGTGGTGAGTCTAGTCAATCGGTGTTGGTGAGCCGAGTGGTGAGTCTAGTCAATCGGTGTTGGTGAGGCGCGTGGTGAGTCTAGTCAATCGGTGTTGGTGAGGCGCGTGGTGAGTCTAGCCAATCGGTGTTGGTGAGCCACGTGGTGAGTCTAGTCAATCGGTGTTGGTGAGCCACGTGGTGAGTCTAGTCAATCGGTGTTGGTGAGGCGCGTGGTGAGTCTAGTCAATCGGTGTTGGTGAGGCGCGTGGTGAGTCTAGCCAATCGGTGTTGGTGAGCCGAGTGGTGAGTCTAGTCAATCGGTGTTGGTGAGGCGCGTGGTGAGTCTAGCCAATCGGTGTTGGTGAGGCGCGTGGTGAGTTTCGCAGCGATCGCTTTCAACATCTTTCCTGACAACGTGAGCGGTGCCCTCGGATGAATGAACGGACGCAACTGATGCGAGTCCCAGTCAAGTCAATGAGTAGTCAATCAGCCAATCAGCCCCCCATTAGCAAAAGCCTCAACTAAAACTCACCTTTTTTTATTTTACCAGGTAAGGCCTGGCCACAAACAATAGCCCAACGAACTGGGCTTATCACGTGGAAATTCACATCAGCCAAATACTCTAAAACGCGTGTTTCTAAATGTGGAGGGAAAAACCGGAGGAACGGGAGAAAAATCCACGCGACCACGGGGAGAACGTGCAAACTCCAAATATACATCAGGCGTCGGGGTCGCGATCGAACCCACAACCTCCTGTATACCAGGCGAGGTAGTTAACATCTCTCCACCGTGGCGCCCCCCACTCGTATTCGCCGCCAGCACGCATCGGTGAGTCTCCGGGCGCTGCGGCTCGATAGGATGGGTTCCGTGAACTACGGAAGAATTATGTACGCACGAGCCTCGTCAAGCCAATGGGAAGCAACGCCATGCAATGACGGGTTGGATGTATTGTGTGTTTGAGCGTGCGTTTGAGCACGGAATCTAGCATGAGGTCGAGTATGGGATTGATCATGAGGTCGACCATGGGATCGAGCTATAAAGGGCTAAAGCGCAGAGTCGAGCATGGGATCGAGGTGTCGAGTGTTTGAGCGTGGGTTTGAGCATGGGATCGAGCATGGGGTCGAGCATGGGATCGAGCATGAGGTCGAGCATGGGATTCATCATGAAGTCGAGCATATGATTGAGCATGAGGTCGAGCATGGGATTCATCATGAGGTCGAGCATAGGATTGAGCTATTATGGGCTAAAGTGCGGCATCGAGCATGAGTTCGAGGTGTCGTGTGTTTGAGCGTGGGTTTCAGCATGGGATCGAGCATGGGGTCGAGCATGGGATCGAGGTGTCGAGTGTTTGAGCGTGGGTTTGAGCATGGAATCGAGCATGGGATCGAGCATGAGATCGAGATTGGGATTGAGCATGAGGTCGAGCATGGGATCGAGCTATTATGGGCTAAAGCGTGGCGTCGAGCATGAGTTCGAGGTGTCGTGTGTTTGAGCGTGGGTTTCAGCATGGGATCGAGCATGGGGTCGAGCACCGTGACCAGTGAGACAAAATCTCTGTTATTTTAGTATCGAACCCTGCTCCATAACTTCTCATACGGGCAAGCACACGCCCAGTGTAACCTTACTTGGCCATGGCCCACACTCACCCTAACGTTATTGTGATTTATCGCTCCGCATTTCACGGACTCGTTTCTATAGTTTTACGGCGCGCGTGCTCAGACCGCGACGAGGAACGCGGACCACTGAGAAATGAAGCTGATTAACGCCGCTGCGCATAATTAAGAGGTCAAAGATGCAATTTCCGGCGGGCGGGCGAGCGGGCGAGCGAGCGGCCGCCGAGTGCGACTGTGATTGGTGTGGAGGTGTCGGGTGTGTGTGTGTGGTGTGGTGCGTGTGTGCGCGGTGTGTGTGTGTGTGGTGCGTGTGTGCGGTGTGTGTGAGTGTGTGGTGCAGCGGTTAGCGCGCTGCGCTACGAACCCGGCGACCCGAGTTCGATTCTCGCTCACGGCCAACACGAGCGACGATTATCTGGACCGGTCCTGCGCTTCAGAATATGTATTTTCACTGGAGAATCCGATGAGCTATAAAGCTCTTTTTCACAGATGTCCAGCAGTTTCACAGATGTCCAGTAGAAAAGAGTTCGATTCCCGCTTACGACCAATAACAGTGGCGAATATCTGAACCTATCCGTGGGCGTCCCCTAGGTCTACTCAGCCTAAAATGAGCACCTTGTGCGATGTGTGAACATCACCACGAGGGAGACAAAGGCGGCAGGGCGTGTTGCTGGCCTCCCAACCCCTCGTGTGCCGTGCCGGCCTTCATAGGTGCTCGCTCACAACACTTGCCCCAACAGTCTAATAAGGATATACGGGGGATCCTTGCCTTTGGATACCCTTGAAAAACGAAACGTCACATCGCAAGGGATTGTCCAGGTAAAATTCTGTAAGATGTCATGTTTACAACGAACGTGTAATTATTCGCGCGGACGTGCTATCGTCTAATTTTTACCATAGAGCTTGAGAATATTAAATATAAACCCCAATATTTGTTATCCGTCACAAGACGAAATTGATTGAAATAGCAAACGCGCCTTTGTGTGTTTGCACGTTTGACCTGCGTCCTTCAACGCACACACACGCGCACGTGCTCGCGAATACACGTGCGTGCGTATGTGTGCGTGTGTGTGTTGCGTATGTGTGTATGTCTTTGTGTGTCAGGTGAGCGGTGGCGCAGCGGTTAGCGCACTGCGCTACGAACCCAGCGACTTGCGTCCGATTCCCGCTTACTGCTCATATCAGTGACGATTTTCTGAATCAGCTGTGCCCCCCTCCCCCTACTCCCCCATGTCAACTCAGTCTCAAATGAGTACCTGATGCGGTGTGTAGCCAACATGAGAACTGGGGAGACAGACGCATGGGCGTGATGCTGGCCTTACTAGGTGCTCGCTAACAACACTTACCACAACAGTCTATTAAAGGCTATACGGGGGAATATTGGTGTGTGTGTGTGCGCGTCAGGCTTTAATGTGTGGGGAGGGAGCGGTGGCCCAGCAGTTAGCGCACTGCGCTACGAATCCGACGGGCATCGCTCGATTTCCCGAGCACAGCTAACGTCAGAAACTAACGATATCATCACTGGTCCCGGGTCTCTCTTTGAAGGACCGGGGAGAAAGATTCGGCCGGGCGTGGAGCTCGTCATACCACCCCCTCATCCGCCGTTCCGGCTTCCATAGTTAACCGCGAGTAGCATGTCTCAGCAGCCTATGTGAAGTCTATACGGGGGATCTTTGTCTCGTGTGTTGGTGTGTCGGGCCTTAGGAGATGCTCGTCTAAAGAATTTGCAATAGTCATCAAGTCTAACACGGCTATACCAGAGGTGTTTGCCATTGTGTGTGATAACAAACCGACATACACGCGTAACCAAACGCATTCCTCAATAAAACTGTGGCCTTAAAAAGAACATATATGATAGGCGACGTTTCGGTCAATTGCCCTTCTTCATAGCACATAAAATCAAGTGTTATTGATTAATGTGTCGAGAATGTCTCTGCGTGCATGTGTTTTATATGTGTGGTGGGTAGCGGCCGTGTAGCGGTTAGCGCGCCGTACGATGAACCCAGCGACCCGAGTTCGATTCCCGCTTATGGTCAACACCAGTGATGATTATCTGAACCGGTCGTGGGCCTCCCCTATGTAGACTCAGCTTCAAATGTTTACCTGCTACAATGTGTAAAAATCAGCACAGGGGAGACAAAGGTGGCCGGGCTTAGTGCTGCCCACCCACCCCATCGCGCGCCGTAACGGCCATCATAGGCGCTCGCTAACAGCACTTTCCCCCAAAAATATGTTACGGCTATAGGGGAGATTTGTCTTTGTGCATTTTTAGGAATTAATAGCGCGAGATGGACGCCATATCTCCGCCGACATTACGCATGGGGTTGGTGGGGGGGAGGGAATGGGAGGAGTGTGAGATTGGAGGGAGAGACGGGGGGGTGGAGATGGGAGGGAGAGATGGGGGGTGGAGATGGGAGGGAGAGATGGGGAGGGTGGAGATGGGAGGGAGAGATTGGGGGGGGATGGGAGGCGGAGATTGGAGGAGGAGGAGATGCGAGGTCTCGGAGCGCGGAGTTCCGCACCAACCATCTCACGCCCGCGCATAAAAACAGCTCAGACAAGGGAGGACGGGAGAGTGAATAGACACACATAGAGGGGAGAGGGTGGGAGATGCACAGGTAGAGAGATAATTAGATAGAGGGAGAGATAGAGAGAGTAGTGGCATGTTGTGTCTCGCACACGCAGCTTGTGCTGTCCTCATTTCGCTTTGAGGCGTTCACGCGGGCGGCCGGCTGCTGCTTAGCGAGCCAAACCGGAGCTGTAGGCGAACCTAGCGTAACCGGATCAGAAACCGAACCGAACTCAACCAAAGCGAATCTCAACGAACTTAACTCCAAACCCGAAATCTCTCGTGTCTGCATCGAACCGAACCGAATCGTAACTTTGGCCTCCGAACCGAACATAAAACGAACGCGCACTCAACCGATCTTCGCGGAACCGAACCCCCAAGCTAACCGAACCGACTCGACGGGATCCCAACCGAACTGCAACCCCGCCGAACCGAACCGTGCAGAACCGAACCGAACGTAACCCAACATAACTGGAACTATCCGAACAGAACCGAACCCGAGCGTAGCTTAAACTGAACCGAACCTGTAATCGGAACGAAACCCGAACCTGATCTCTCTTAACTTCACCCCACCCCTCTCCCTCGCCGCTCGCGTCTCCGGAGTCCCCGTTCGCACTGGTTCGGCACGCGGCCCCGTGTGCATGCATATTGGGGAGGCCTGGATGGTCCCGGCGAGGTCTCTCCAAGAGAGGGGACCCCGCGAGCTCATGGAGGGGGGGAAGGGCCCACCGGCCCAGTCGGACAAAGCTACCGCGGCACCGGTGGCCGGATCGGTGGCCGCATCATCCCGGGAGCATCGCGATGCGAAGCGAGCTCCGAACTCTTTGCCCAAATCCACGGGATTCGCCATTCAGGAGCTGTTGGGTCTGGGCCGCGATTCTCCATCCCCGCCGCGCCAGAACAACACCAACCATCACAACCATCACCATCACCACCACCACCACAATCATCACCAGCACCACCACCCTCTGCAGCAGCAGCACCTTCATCATCAGCATCAGCAGTCGGAGCAGCGCGCCTTCATCACGCCCGGAGTCTTGGGCGTCCAAGTATCCACGGCACTCGCGGCGTCTCTCTACCCGCAGCCCGTGGCTAATTTCCTGTCGGCCCTGGCCGAACCCCGCGAGGCCTCGCTGGGGGCCGCGGCCGGTCGCTTGCAGGTGCCCGGGGCGGCTCACGGCGGCTGCGTCGGGTCGGGATCGGCGCCGGCTCAAGCCGACAGCGGCAACGAACAGAGCTCGGGTGAGGGACAACACACAGAGACAGAGATACAGAGAGAGAGTGATAGTGATGTTGGTTTAACACGTAGGCTTTCGCGACCAATATCATCCATAATACAGCTGTTTCTGGCTTAGAGGGCGTAAATATATAAATGCGTCGTTAAAACCCGCCACCACCCGACACAGCCAACTAGTAAGGGTTGTCACGTAAACAGAACGTGCCGATTCGTAACTAGTGCAGCACGCCGGTGTGTTGGAGAGCCAAGCCACAACATTTGCAATCTGTAAATGTTATATATTAATTTACACACAAACGTACAGATGAGACACTATGGCCATGTACAGCCCCGTTTCGCCAATCCACTGCTGGATGAATAAGGGTCGTCGTCCGCCGCCTCCCCCCCCCGCTCTCACCACGCTGTAGCAGCTCGTGCGAGTCGCTCGTTGGAACTTCAGCACCACGGACAGCGGCGGGTTGAGTCAGCACCGTGCGGTGTGTAGCCGTGGGAAGCCGAGGATCGTCTGTGCCGCTCCGCCCTCTGTTTGAACGCCGCGTGTGTTAGGCCGCAAGCCGATGCCTGCGGCAATTCGTTTGTGCAAGGTGGTCCGCTCATCAAGAGGCGGCTCAACGCTGATCAGATTCCGAGATGTGGAACGAGATGGAGCCCCATTGATCCCGGGTGATGTCGGCGTGAGCCCCACTAGTGTCCACCCCGAGTCTGCGCAGTTTCTCGTTGTGTTTCAAACCATTATGAATAACTTTCATGAGCGAGACCGAGTAGAGTTGTCGTATGTAGATTGCGAGTTTAATGTATTAATGGAAGTGTGGTATCAGTGGTGGCTGGAGTACTGAAGAGTATGTAAGTATCGTGACTGAAATGTGCCACATTTAAAAGTTTCAAGACATCTTTAAGAATGACAGATGTGTGAAGAAGCGTGTATGGGAGGGAAGGGGACGTTGGGGCATAGTGATTAGCACACTGCGCTACGAACACTGCGACCTAAGTTCGATTCCCAGCCACGGCTTTAACGTCGGTAAGCGAGCTACATTTGGATCGGTCTCAGGACTCCATCGCAGGTCAGCTCAGCCTTAACTGAGTATCTCGTTGCGGTGTGAAATCAACATCAGCACTGGAGAGACAAAGGCGGCCAGGCGTGGCGCTAACCACCACCCCACCCTCTCGTGTACCCCAACGCGTCTGATAGAGACTCGACTGGAATCTGTGTATGTGTGTTTGTGATAAGTAAAATGTAAAAGTAACAATATCATCATGATCATCGCTATTATCATCGTTAATACCGTGTGGCAAGTTAATCGTGACCTGACTGCAGGACAGTTGATCAATTCAAACGAGGACATTTTGCACTCGCACAATAATGTTCCATTTTATGTATATATGTATACATCGTAACAATGGTTTTAGTTCACAATTTATCACGTTATAAATACATCATAACGAATAACAGTAGGTCAACGACAAACAATAATATCGGGGAATAGTTTTAATGTCGCTGAGAGGAAAGACCTAGACGTTTAGAGCGATTGGCCTTTTTCAGAGATCTCGTTTTTTATCTTTGTGACAATTTTAACTCACTGCATTTGTCTTGCGTGTGTATATTTTGCGGGCTTCAAACCCATCGCTGACAAGCCTGGTGAAGTATGGTCAAAAACACATTACGGGGGTGCGCCGCGGTGGTGAGATGTTAACTACCTCGCCTGGTATACAGGAGACCATGGGTTCGATCTCGACCCTGACGCCTGCTGTATATTTGGAGTTCACATGTTCTCTCCGTGGATTTTTCTACAGGTCGTCTGATTTCTCCCCCCCACCCAAATTTAGAAACATGCGTTTAGAGTATTTGGCTGCTTTAAATGTCTACACGATAAGCCACATCCATGGCCAATCATTTGTGGCCAGGTCGCTTCGGAAAAAGAGCTACATAGCTCAGTGGGCCTTACCTGATAGAATAAAAATGTATAGTTGAAATATTTTAGTTTGACCAAATCGGACGTGGGGAGGCTTTCGTCCAGCAGTGAATTGACACGCGAGTGTCAATTATAATGCAGTACTTATTATCCAAATACTTATAATTACAATATAAGTTCACTGATACGGCAACGTATATATACATATTTTTCGTGCCTCATTATGAGCAACGAATTCCAATGGAATTTCGCCACTTTTTATCGGCTTTAGCGTCACACATCACAGGAGGCGGATTACCTCCTCCGTTAACCGATGACGAGGAGGATTGTACTGTGCGCAAAGGGTTAATTTCTAGACAAATGTAGAACTTCAGGATGACCCTGCCGTCTGTACGTGCAATCATGTCAACACAGAAACGGACAAAGACTTAGAGAACGGAGACTTCATCGAGTTTTCAAGCAAGATGATATGAAAGTGCATCGGATCCAATGGCTTCCAAATATCGGAAGGAAGAGTAAGCGAAAGCGTTCCAGACGGCACACTCTTCCTTTCGATATTAAAAAGCCACTGGAGCTATGCACTCTTCGAATCGAGATTTTAAACTCTATTTCTTTAGAATTGCTTTTTGTTTTTAGTTCGCAGTCCTTCCCCGCACCTCCGATGAGCGCGGTTGGCAACGTAGGGTACGAAACAAGTTTCGACATACATACAAACATACAAACAGACATTATTTAACATATGTAAGAGCTCGTGGGGGGTTATTATAAGTGCCTCCGTGCAAGGGAGACTCTGCATGGCTTCACGATGGCACACAGCAAGCGTGTAGCTCGTAGGGCCAACAACGCATCCACTCAACTACACGTGCCCGATTTATATTTGTAGTCCTTGAAGAACATCGCTTAATCAAGACACGATTGTCGACGTGGGTGCATCGGATATTACGAACACGAAAGATGTGTGTGTACATACGCACAACGGCCGTGCGTTATTTGCCATCTGCTCTCGCGATAAGGTTCATCACCATGGGTGTTTATAAAATTGATAATAATAATAATTTACATTTGTAAAGTGGCGAGTTTCATCCTAAGATCGCACCAATACGCCACCGCCGTGTATGGGAAGCCGGGAAATACACGGAACCTGCACAGGGCTACACGACGAGACCTGGGCGGGCGGGCGGGGGGGGGGTAAAGGTCAATTTAAAGAGGCGAGATTTCAAGACGAACTTAACGACCATAACACAGTTTTATTTTTTTTGGGTTAGATTGTGTAAATATCTAAATGTGTCGTTAAATCCGCCACCGCCCGATACAGTCAATTTAGTAAGGTTTGTCACGTAACATGTTTACGTAACATGCTTACATGCCATATTAACGCGATCTCAACAAAAAAAACCCTGTATTATGGATGATATTGGTCGCGATAGCCTCCGTGTTATATACGCTGACTTAACGATTCGGATTGTTTTATTATTCCGAAGCTTTGGGAGCTGCCCTGAAAAAAACAGCTCGATCGCCCCCAATGAGCGTTTACCTCGGAGTACTCAGTCGAAGACGATCCGAACATCTCACACCTTAATAATTCAACCCTTTGTGTGTGTGTGCTTTTTTAACGTTACACAACCGACGTCAAAATCCACGGTGCGATTTGATTCGAGACTCGCCCATTGCGCTGTGAAATGAACCACTCTCATCTGACATCGATTTCCCGGCCACGGCGAATATCGGTGTTGCGAGCGTTTTCCTGAGTCGCTCCACCCTTTCGCCACCCAGCACTGAGTGAGCCGGCGGCCTGTGGTGATGGTGGTGGTGAGGTGTGGTCGACCATCCCCCCCGAGAACGAAACGGTGTGGAAGTAGACGTTCAATCCCACATTGGATTGGCAAATTTATCTGAATTGTTAATATTATAATTTGCAAATGTATCGGCCAATTGCTGTTGAGTTGATATTTTTTTTTAAATCGTGAAAATTCGACGATAACATTGTGGCTTTAATTTTTTTTTAAAAATGTGTGTACATACGCACAACGACCGTGCGTTATTCGCCTCCTGCTATTGCGATATGGTTCAACACCATCGGTATTTATAATATTGATAATAATTAACATTTGTAAAGTGGCACATTTCATCATAATAGGCGACGTTTTAGGCAATGGCCCTTCTTCAAAACAATTAAATAGTGTCTTAAGTGTTGTTGTTAATTGTGCACCACCACATGCCAAAGTACGAGCAGCAGCATCACCAAATTATATATTTTTAAAATCATATCTCGGTAGTCGTTAAGATGAGAATGACAGTGGGGACGGAGGGGGGGGGGGCATGCATCATAACGGACCGGTCCCTTTACTCCACGTGGGACCGATTCGTGTGTAAGGCTGCCGAATGTTCCCTTAACGTCCGATTTGGGTTGTTTCCCGACATCGCCACCAGTGATGCTGCAAAATCGCCGAGGCCGATGTGATGATGTCGTGTCGGTCTGTTCTTATTAACATGGAAATGTCGCATAGATATCATTTCTTCTACGTATAAATGTGATAAACATCATCATCATCATCGTCATCCGTGCTCAATCCACTGCTGGATGAAGGCTTCCTTAAGCCGTCGCAATCCCTCACGGTCCTGCGGGACCCACTGCAGCACACGCACACGAGTTTATTATATATATTACATATTTTACATATATCTAGACGAGTGGCTATATTTATTAACACACAAAAGCCTCAAACATTGGTCCATTAAATTCAGTTTTTTTTATTGAATACATTTGTAAAATAATAACCTACACTTCATTCATCCGTACATATCGGTAAATCTGACACATCTCAAACAAATTCACTTCATAGCAAACACACACGTGCAATACATCCAGTACGAAGAGAAATACAAAGGTCATCCGTATAGCCTTCAGGTGCTGTTAGCGAGCACCTATTAAGTAAGGCAGGCATAGTACACGAGGGGGTGGTTTGCGACTAATCACCACGCCCGGCCGCCTTTGTCTCCCAGTGCTGATATCCACGTATTGTACCAGGTACACATTTAAGGATGAGTCGAAATATGCACACAAACACACACGCACGTACACATTACAATTGCGCTTAGACGGCTATATATTACTATAAATAACGAATAATAATAATAATATATAGCCGTTGGCCAATCCACTGCTGGATGAATGTTTCTCCCCGTGTCGGTCGTCGGAGCTGTTTGACCATACTTCACCACGCTGGGCACGTGGGGATTTGGCAACGGAGAGAGGCTCCTCATGACCGGTTCAGATGCCACTCGCCACTGATGTTAGCCGTGGCCGCGAATCGAATGGCAAGTCGCCGTTGGCCTTATAGCCATGTGCGCTAACCACCGTACCCACCGCTCCGCGCAATATTATGGTAAACTACAGAATATATTTTAAATAATCACGAGGCTTTTTTAACGTTGTTATTGCAATGATAAAAACATATATATACCCGGTCTAGCGGCGTACACATCTACACAAAGGTACACGTATATTTATACACACGTATGTACAAAATACTACTCAAATAAAGCTTTTGACAGACTGTTGGAGCAAGTGCTGTTAGCGAGCACCTATTACGGCCGACACTGGGCCCGAGGTTGGTTGATGGCTAAGCACCACGCCCGGCCGCCCTTGTCTCCCCAATGCTGATGTTTTTTTTCTTTTTTACACACCGCACCCGGTACTCATTTTAAGGTTGAGTCGATCTAGGAGAGGCCCAGGCACTGGTCCAGATATCTGTCACCAATTTTGTACTGTTAGCTGGAATCAAACTCGGGTCGCCGGGGTTGTAGCGCAGCGCACTAACCACTACATTATCACTCCCTACATACAAAGACAAAGATAAAGATCCCCCGTATAGCCTAAACAGACTGTAGGGGCAAGTGCTGTTAGCGAGCACCTATGGAGGCCGGAACGGTACACGAGGGGGTGGGTGGCCAGCACCACGCCCGACCGCCTTTGTCTCCCTAGTGGCAATGTTTACACACCGCACCAGGTACTCATTTGAGGCTGAGTCGACCTAGGGGAGGCCCGGGACCGGTTCAGATAATCGTCACTAGTGTTGGCCGTGAGCGGGAATGGAACCCGAGTCGCCAGGTTCATAGCACAGCGCGCTAACCATTACACTATCGCTCTCCATACACACACAAACACATAAACACATACATACATACACACATATACACACATACACACCTGCGATTATCACGGTAGACTACGTACGGTGCAAAAGAAGTTGAACATATCTAGACATCCACATACATATTGTCATTGACATACATACATATAGGCATGCATATGTATAGGTAGTTATATACGAATACACTCATATACAAGACAAATATCCCCCGTATAGTCTTAACAGACTTTCGGGGCAAGTACACAAACGAGTGCACACACACAGTTTAAACATATACAGTATTATATTCTTGGTTCTTTCGGTAAAGTCACGTAGAAGGGAAACAATAAAATAATAAAAATCAATAAAATTCACACCTGATGATGATGATGATTGCTTGTGTTGCAGTCGAAACGTCGTGAGAATTTTATTGTTTTATATTTTTAATATTTTATTGGTTCCCTTCTACGTGACTTTACCGAAAGAACCAATAATATGAATCCCTGCAGTCACGAAAGCATTAAATCAAAATATAGAGTATTCTCATACGAATAAATACGTGTTAATATCATACATACACTTACTTATATACATACAAATAGTATAAATTTGCTGTTTCTGTAATAAGATACATAAATTACAGTTGAACAAAAAATATTATTTAGGTTTTTATACTGCCACTGAAAGTAAACGTTTCGGCCAACTGTCCTTATGCGAGAAAACCCCACACATTTATAGCCAAATACACAGAGATATGTTTTCCCGTATCAGAATCATAATCTTTATTCAAACTGGAGGAATCCGATGAGCTATGAAACACTTGTTCGTCAGATGTCCAGTATGAGCAGCAGCAATATGTTCAGGAGCTCGATGCCAATGTCGAGATCTGCTGCTGCTGCTGCTGGTCACGACGAGAGGCCTTCAGCAGAGAGTTCGTGGCGCGTGGCTCTTTCCACCTCTTCATTCTGGCGAATTGACCGATGATGCTGGATGTAATTACCAGCGAAACGTCGTACTACTCAAACTGTAAATGTTGTGGATTCACTCTTCAACACACCGGTGGGCTAAAGTAGTGAATTATTTGTCTTTTGTCAACGTGACATTTTTTTTGCTGATTGGCCGTGTCGGGTGGTGGAGGGTCACGACACATTTATAAATAACGCGATCTAACCCAAAAAACCTTTATTATGAATAATATTGGTCGCGAAAGCCTATGTGTTAATCTTTCCACCTCCTCTGTTGAAGGAGCGAAGACCACAGTGGGTTTACTGCGCGATCCATAGCTCTGGTAGCATGGCCAAGTACTGTATACAGTATACAAGTAGACAGAAAAAGCGTATAGACGGGCGGAACAACACGTACATGCACACAGACACATATACACGTATTATGAACATATACACGTAATGTACACGGGATGCTGGTATGTGTGTATGCGTGTCAAACTTCTTTCGCACCGTATGTAGCCAACCGTGCTAATCGGAGGTGCGGGGGGAAGGACAATAAACTAAACACAAATCTGAAGAAATTAGTTTTCAATCGAGATTTTAAAGTATATAGCTCCAGTGGCTTCCCACTATCGGAAGGGAGAGCGTTCCAGACGTCCGCGGAAGCGCGGCGCTTATAAGTTAGGCACCTGGTAGAGGGTGCACACAACGGACGGAGCCGTGCGGGGTTTCACGAATCATTGCCATCCGATTTGCATGCGCGCCCAATCGCAGCCGAATGCCCTGCGAGCTACGGCGACTTCTCGCCGCTACTTGGGCCCAAAATGATCGGTGAGCGTGCGGCGCTTGTTCCTGAACTGCTTTGTTGTTGTTATTGTTGTTGTTGGCGAAACGCCGGCGAATCGTCACGGCACTCGAATTGTTCAATGTTGTGGTGGGTCTTACTCTCCAACGACCCCGGTGTGGTGTACCCGTAAGGAATTGGCACGTTTTGCTCACGTGACAAACCCCTTACTGATCGGCTGTGTTGGATGGTGGCGAGTTAAACGACACACGCATATTTACGCTAGCGAAAGAAGTTCCACACGCATACACGCGTACAACACGCGTACAACACGCGTCACGACACGCATCACGACACGCGTCACAACACGCGTCACAACACGCGTCACAACACGTGCACGCGTTTGATTTTGTATCCACGCGGCGCTATCGAGACACAGGCAGAGCGAATCGCAACGCGCAAATAAAATGCCGTCAGTGTCGACGCATCGCCACCGTTCACGCGATCGCCATCATCAGCGGCGGCAGTAGCCACGATCTATCCACCGCTGGATGGACGAAGACCTCCTCAACCCGTTGCCATCGTCACGCGGTCTCGCCATGGAACAATCCCACCGCTGGGTCATGGGCCCGCGGTGCGGACGCAATCTCGGGCGCCTTTCCCTCCGTTGGCTGCCACTACTCCGTTTCACGTCTCGACCACCCGGCCGTCGATGGTCATGTTCTAGCCGCGACGGGTCCTGCGGCCCAAGCGCGCACACTTTAGTGTCCTTGGCAGTCGATGCAATGTCGCTCGACTTACGCTTGGCGTAGCTATCGAGTAGTGCAGGCGGTGCAACTGGACCTGCGGCTCGCGGGTCGCTAGGTCCTTAGGGGGAAGGGACCGCGAACAAAAGGGCCCCATTTAATTCGTAGCGCCAGGGCCAATTACAAACCGCGCGTGTTCATGCAGCTATCTCAAGTGCCTGCACGCACTTGTCTTTTGCCTAGCATGGCACCTGGTTCTGTTCGGTGACCTCCTGTCAGCAGGCCTTCAACACTTCACCTGGCCTCAAAGTGCACCTGGCATGGCACAAGCGTAGTGGTGACATCGCCGCCGCTTAGTGCTGAACGGCGGTTGTTTGTTGTTCTTGTGTGTACGGGGAGTGGTGTCGCCGTGGTTAGCGCTACGCTACGCGACGAAACGGGCGTCCTGAACTCGATTTCCGCTCACGGCCAACATCGGTGACGAACACCTTGAGCACCTGGTGCGGTGTGTAAACATCAGCAGCACTGGGGAGACAAAGGCGGCCGGGCGCGGTGCTGATCACCCACCCCCCTTCGCGCGCCGTATTTGGCCTTCACAGGTTGCTCGCTAACAGCACTTGCATCCCCCTGCCGCCTGTGTAGGCTACACGGGAGATCTTTATCTGTTGTGTTTATGTGCCCCCCCACCCCCACCACGGCAGAGGGAGACGAGATCTGTAGCGACGGCGGCGCGGCTACGGAGAGGGACGCCCCACGCGAGGCGAAGCGGCGGAAGAAGCGACGGCACAGGTGACGGCCGCGAATCGTCGGACATCAGCAGCAGCAGCAGACACGCTCTATCGCTGCTGGATGATGATGATGGCTTCCCCCCCACGACAGTCTCGCTGATGGATACCGCCCGTCCGTCTCTGTCCTGCGTGTGAGATGATCTCTAATCATCTCCACCTTCACGGTGGATGTCCTCTCGGGCGCGTTCACGCCTTTGGCTGTCATTCCGTGTCCAATCCTGACCATCGGCTATCGTCATCATCATCATCCCTTCTAACCAAGCCCACCCACTTTCATTCTTGACATGCAATGCGAAGTGCTGTATCTATACCCTACGGCGTGTGATCTCTAATCCACGTGGATCTGCAGAGATACCAGCGTGTAGACTAAAGAAATCACGTGATCTGTAGAGGTCTCATTGTGGAGGCCAACGATGTCACGTGATCTGTAGAGGTCCCATTGCGAAGACTGGTGATGTCACGTGGTCTGTAGAGGTCCTATTGTGTAGAATGACGATGTCACGTGGTCTGTAGAGTTCCCATTGTGTAGACCAACGATGTGACGTGATCTGTAGAGGTCGCATTGTGTAGACCGACGATGTCACGTGGTCTGTAGAGGTCCCATTGTGTAGAATGACGATGTCACGTGATCTGTAGAGGTCCCATTGTGTAGACTGACGATGTCACGTGATCTGTCGAGGTCCCATTGTGTAGACTGACGATGTCACGTGGTCTGTAGAGGTCCCATTGTGTAGACTGACGATGTCACGTGGTCTGTAGAGGTCCCATTGTGTAGACTAACAATGTCACGTGATCTGTAGAGGTCCCAGTGTGTAGACTAACAATGTCACGTGATCTGTAGAGGTCCCAGTGTGTAGACTAACGATGTCACGTGATCTGTAGAGGTCCCAGTGTGTAGACTAACGATGTCACGTGGTCTTTAGGGTCCCATTGTGTAGACTAACAATGTCACGTGGTCTGTAGAGGTCCCAGTGTGTAGACTAACAATGTCACGTGGTCTTTAGAGGTCCCAGTGTGTAGACTAACAATGCCACGTGGTCTGTAGAGGGACCAGCGTGTAGACTAACAATGTCACGTGGTCTGTAGAGGTCCCAGTGTGTAGACTAACAATGTCACGTGGTCTTTAGAGGTCCCAGTGTGTAGACTAACAATGCCACGTGGTCTGTAGAGGTCCCAGCGTGTAGACTAACAATGCCACGTGGTCTGTAGAGGTCCCAGCGTGTAGACTAACAATGCCACGTGGTCTGTAGAGGTCCCATTGTGTAGACTACGACGATCTTTAGCGATATTCTCTGTAACCCACTCGGTCTGGCCGTGTGGTGGAGTCCAGGGTGCGGTGAGGAGGGAGTTAGTAGCCGCACTGCAGCACGGCACTGGACCCAGGACTGCCTGGCGCGTGACCCAGATGGAGACGCAGCCGTCAACGAAGGCAGAATTTTTATTGTTTTATATATATATTTTATTATTTTATTGTTTCCCTTCAACGTCACTTTACCGAAAGAGCTAAGAATATGAAGGCAGCAGCATTTCTCTGCGCGGCACTGTTCAATGTTGGGGCTTGTGAGAAGGGCAAGATTTTAAATTTGTATTTAAAAATGTTTTTTTTTTCTCTAAATCTTCTTTTGAGGAGCCACTCTACAGGACGCGCGATTCTCCGCTCCGTCTGGGGGGGGGGGGTGGGTCAGGCTTCGGTGTCACCAGCGAGCCGACAGTTATTTTAGGAAACTCAGCACATTCGTCGAAAGGATAAAAAATATGACACCTAAAATCTTACAAGAACGGTCCTAAAATCATTAAAAAAGATAATTCACGTGTGCATTCATGTCAGTCCGAGTCAGTTGAACATGTTAACATCAATTAAATAACCCTATGTGATTTGTTAAAATAACATATATAATTACCTTATGTGTTCTGACTGTTGGGTGACGTTTCGGGCAATGGTCCTTGCTCATGCGCTTCAACTCTTCTGAGCATTATTACATCACAGACGCGATCGGAAAATGCGATAACATCCCTTTGCCAAAAAACGAACGAGCAAACACAATCTTGATTTGCAGCTTCCGTGACCGCAGGAATCCCACACTCCTCGGTTCTTTCAGGTAAAGCCACGTAGGTAGAATATTAATAATGGATCACGACGTTTCGATCGCAACACAAGCAATCGTCATCAGCTTTGGGACAACCACAGCAATAAAAAAAACTTCTGAAGTAGGCGAGAGATCTGCCGTGGCACGAGGTTATAGAGGTCTCGGCAGTAGGGGTGGAGAGAGAAGAAGGAGGGAGGAGGGAGTGGAAGGAGCAAACACAACCCGAAAATCTTCAACGTTAAAATCCGAAAAACTCATCCGCGCCCATGCCGTGACTCCTATTCTCGCCTGCAGGACAATCTTCACGTCCTACCAGCTGGAGGAGCTGGAGAAGGCCTTCAACGATGCACACTACCCGGACGTGTACGCCAGGGAGATGCTGGCACTGAAAACCGAGCTCCCGGAGGATCGCATCCAGGTGAAGACAACCTTCCCCACCCCACCCCACCCCGGCTGGCCGAGCTGAAGCGTCCGCACCTCGAGGCTCGGGGTCGACGCGGCGGTCACTGTCAAATGTCGCGGGCTGGCAAAGTTGGCCGTGGATTGTTGAATCCATCTGCGCGGGGCTTTGCGCGTGAACTCCACGTACGCTCGGTTGGGGGGGAGGGGGGGGGGTTACAATCCGGAGTTGCCCGGCGTTGGTCCTCGTGCAATGTGAGCGAACGTACCAAAATATATATACACTGAATATATATGTCAATGCAGCTGCAGCAGTAACTAGGATCCTCTTGATAACGAGCGCTGAGACTCGGTAAGGATTTCCGAAGTCAACAGATAATTAATCGTATGATACAAAGGCAAAGATCCCCCGTATAGCCTGTTGGGCAAGTGCTGTTAGCGAGCATCTATTAAGGCGGCACCGCCACACGAGGTGGTGGGTGGCCAGAACCACGCCCGGCCGCCTTTGTCTCCCCGGCGCCGAATGTTCACTCGCTGCACCAGGTACTCAAGCCTACAGACACAAACATTCAAATAAATAATGTGTTCTGTTTTATTTGTAAATATTAAGCCTACCTGAAATGCAGTAGCCTCTATTATTTAAAGAAACGCGCCTGTTTACCATTACTATATATTATTCACATTTGAGAGCACATCTTTTTGACACGTAGTGTTGCAAAGCGATGCGTTGTTTTTAATATGTACTGTATCCCTAAGGAAGGATATGTCATAGTCACCTGATTGAATATAACGCATAGTTTCTACAGATATAATTATTATTTTAGAGCTGTATGCGAATTATTTAATTATTTTACAGATGATCATTATTATTGTCAACATCATCGTTAACAGTCATCCAATGCCATATATTCGCCCATGTGTACACGACTATATACATGCTATACCTGTATACTGTGTGTATGTATGTACTGTGTATGTATATACTGTGTGTGTATGTGTATACTGTGTGTATGTTTATACTGTGTGTATGTTTATACTGTGTGTATGTATGTACTGTGTATGTATATACTGTGTGTGTATGTGTATACTGTGTGTGTTTATACTGTGTATGTATATACTGTGTATGTATGTACTGTGTGTGTATGTACTGTGTGTATGTATATACTGTGTGCATGTATGTACTGTGTGCATGTGTATACTGTGTGTATGTATATACTGTGTGTATGTATATATACTGTGTGTGCATGTATATATTGTATGTATATACTGTGTGTTTATGTATATACTGTATGTGTATGTATGTACTGTGTATATACTGTGTGTGTATATATACTGTGTGTGCATGTATATACTGTGTGTATGTACTGTGTATATATTGTGTATATACTGTGTGTATATATACTGTGTGTATGTATATACTGTATGTATATACTGTATGTATATACTGTGTGTATTGTATATACTGTGTGTATGTATATACTGTGTCTGTGTATAGTGTGTGTATGTATATACTGTGTGTATGTATATACTGTGTGTATGTATATACTGTGTATGTATATACTGTGTGTCTGTGTATAGTGTGTGTATGTATATACTGTGTGTATACTGTGTATGTATATATAGTGTGTGTATATATACTGTGTATGATTATGCTGTGTGTATGTATATACTGTGTGTATATACTGTGTGTATATACTGTACGTGTATATACTGTGTGTATGTATATACTGTGTGTATGTATATACTTTGTGTGTATGTACTGTGTGTATGTATATCCTGTGTGTATGTGTATACTGTGTATGTACTGTGTATGTATATATTGTGTGTATGTATATACTGTTGTGTATGTATATACTTTGTATGTCTACAGTGTATGTATGTACTGTGTGTATGTATATACTGTGTGTATGTATATATTGTGTGAATGTATGTACTGTGTATATGTACTGTGTGTATGTATGTACTGTGTGTATGTATGTATGTACTGTGTGTATGTATATACTGTGTGTGTATATACTGTGTGTATGTATATACTGTGTGTATGTATGTACTGTGTATGCAGATACTGTGTGTGTATGTATATACTGTGTGAATGTATGTACTGTGTGTATGTATATGATGTGTGTATGCATGTACTGTGTGTATGTATGTACTGTGTGTATGTATGTACTGTGTGTATGTATGTATGTACTGTGTGTATGTATATACTCTGTGTATGTATGTACCGTGTGTATGTATATACTGCGTGTATGTAAATACTGTGTGTATGTATATACTGTGTATGTATATACTGTTGTGTATGTATATACTGTTGTGGATGTATATACTGTGTGTATGTATATACTGTGTGCATGTATATACTGTGTGTCTGTGTATACTGTGTATGTATATACTGTGAATGTATATACTGTGTGTATGTATACCCTGTTGTGTATGTATATACTGTGTGTATGTATATCCTGTGTGTATGTATATACTGTGTATGTATATACTGTATGTATATACTGTTTGTATGTATATACTGTGTGTATTGTGTATATACTGTGTATGTATGTACTGTGTGTATGTATATACTGTGTGTATGTATATCCTGTGTGTATGTATATACTGTGTGCATGTATATACTGTATGTGTATGTATGTACTGTGTGTATATACTGTGTGTGAATATATACTGTCTGTGCATGTATATACTGTGTGTATGTATGTACTGTGTATATACTGTGTGTATATATACTGTGTGTATGTATATACTGTATGTATATACTGTGTGTATTGTGTATATACTGTGTATGTATGTACTGTGTGTGTATGTATGTACTGTGTGTATGTATGTACTGCGTGTATGTATATACTGTGTATGTATATACTGTGTGTATGTATATACTGTTGTGTATGTTTATACTGTGTGCATGTATATACTGTGTGTATGTATATACTGTGTATGTATATACTGTGTATATACTGTGTATGTATATACTGTGTATGTATGTATATACTTTGTGTATGTATGTACTGTGTGTATGTGTATACTGTGTATGTATATACTGTGTATGTATATACTGTGTATGTATGTACTGTTGTGTATGTTTATACTGTGTGCATGTATATACTGTGTGTATGTATATACTGTGTATGTATATACTGTGTGTATATATACTGTGTATGTATGTACTGTATGTATATACTGTGTATATGTATATACTGTGTGTATGTATGTACTGTGTGTATGTATATACTGTGTGTATATGTATGCACTGTGTGTATGTATATACTGTGTGTATGTATATACTGTTGCGTATGTATGTACTGTGTCTATATATACTGTGTGTATGTATATACTGTTGCGTATGTATATACTGTGTATGTATATACTGTTGTGTATGTATATACTGTTGTGTATGTATATACTGTGTATGTATATACTGTGTGTATGTTATACTGTGTATGTATATACCGTGGACCCCCCTAATGGAACATCTTCGCCGGTTAGAAACATTTAGGCTGGCCTGCCTACGATCCATCCTGGGTTTAACCAGACTGGATTTTGTGAGGAGCTCACAAATCCTTGAAAGATCTGGGCAAGGTCCCATCGGTGAGCTCCTCCGGCGGGCAAGGCTGCGTTGGCTGGGTCATGTAGCCCGCATGCCCAGCCACCGCATACCGAAACAGCTTTTGTTCGGCCGGATTGAGGGGGCTAAACGGGCGCGGCACGGGCTAGAGAAGAGATGGAGTGATGTGGTACAGGAGGACGTGGAGCTGAGTGGACTTGCCGATGACTGGTACCAGCGGTGTCAAGATCGGCCTCTGTGGAGGAGGCTCGTGAAGGACGCTACTGGGCAGTTGGAGGCAGTCGCCCTCCAACAACAACGGAGGGCGGAGGAGCGACGCTCACAACAACGAGCGGAGCGCCGGGTGGCTAAAGCACAGCAGGTTGGCACAGTAGGGGGCACAGGTGGTGCATCAGCCAGTCATCTCAGTCAGTCGACCCGTGGCACCTGGGTCTGCCCCGTGACCTCCTGCCAGCGGGCGTTCGACACTTCACGTGGCCTCAGGGTGCACATAGCCTGGCACAAGCGTCGTGGTGACGTCACCGCCACTTAGTGGCGAATGGCGGTTGTTGTTGTATATACTGTGTATGTATATACTGTTGTGTATGTATATACTGTGTATGTATATACTGTGTGTATGTATATACTGTGTGTCTGTATACTGTGTATGTATATACTGTTTGTATATACTGTGTGTATGTATATACTGTGTATGTATGTGCTGTGTGTGTATGTATGTACTGGGTGTATGTATGTACTGTGTGTATGTATATACTGTGTATGCATATACTGTGTGTATGTATATACTGTGTCTGTGTATACTGTGTATGTATATACTGTGTGTATGTATATACTGTTGTGTATGTATATACTGTGTATGTATGTACTGTTGTGTACGGCTTTCGCTGGTAATTTCATTCAGCATCATCGGACGATTTGCCCCGTAACGTCGTCCTCAAATAGTAAATGTTGTGGATTTACTCTCCAACACACCGGTGGGCTGAAGTAGTAACTAATTAGCTTTTTGTTTACGGGCACAAATCCCTTAATAAATGTTCTGTATCGGGAGGTGGAGGGTTACGACACATTTATTGTTACGCGATCTATAACCCAAACAACTTTATTATTTCAATTCTAGATTTGAAGCTTTCGTGACTGCAAGGATCCATACTCTTTGGTTCTATTCGGTAAAGTCACGTAGGTAAAAAAAAATCACGACGTTTCGGCCACAACACAAGCGGCCTTCATCAGGTGAAGGGACCAGCCTGTCTCGAAGACTGCCCTGGAGTGAAACAGAGCCAAGCTCAGACTCCGACCTTTAAGCTGTGTGAGAGGGATTAAGGTGCCTCGACAAAAGAATTAGCATAAAAAAATTAGCATTTGATTGGCGGACTTAGCATGATGAAAGGTGAAAGCACGCGGCAGTGCACCTTTAAGCTGTGTGAGAGGGATTAAGGTGCCTTGATTAA